GAGAGGGAGAGACAGCAGACTGAGGGAGTGAGAGAGAGAGAGAGAGAGTGAAGGATCAACCCCTGCTGCTGGCAGGAGATCATCATTACCGCCGACTCCCAACAAATTAAGGCTATTAAGTTGTCTGTTGGCTCTCCAAAAATCAGACCTGTTGATTGATCCAAATTCAGCCTATTGAGTGGTCCGTTGGCTCTCCAAAAATCAGACCTGTTGATTGATCCAAATTCAGCCTATTGAGTGGTCCGTTGGCTCTCCAAAAATCAAACCTGTTGATTGATCCAAATTCAGCCTATTGAGTGGTCCGTTGGCTCTCCAAAAATCAGACCTGTTGATTAATCCAAATTCAGCCTATTGAGTGGTCCGTTGGCTCTCTAAAAATCAGACCTGTTGATTGGTGCGCTGACCGTATGATCGAGCCTGATGATTTTGCTTGTTGACTTTCTACAAATTGAGCATATTGATTGGTTCGGTTGGCTATAAAATCGGACCTATTGATTGCTCCGCTGGACATCTGATCGAGCCTGCTGATTTGGCTCTCTGGCTTACTGATAATTAAGCATGCTAAAGAGACTGATTGTTCTCTGGAAATCGACTCGCCTGATTGGACCACTCTCCCTTATAAAACCAAACTTGTTAGAGTCAAAACAGATAACCCTCATGATCAGGCTCAATCTACATCTGGCTCTGACTCCAGAAAAGGGGGAAGTGCTCATTGAACAAAATTACTCAAGAGAATTATGATCTGATAACGCTAGATTAAAGCGCTTCTGCGGGCAGGGGTAGCAGGAGATAATAAGCCCCAACACCCTATCTGCCGTTGAGGACCTCGGAAGTGGGCGCGCCGACTGACAGGCGGCGTTGCCCCTGGCTTCAGCGAGCGGTAGGAGCCCCTCCCCGGGTTTCCTCACAGCGGTTTGCTTTGTACTTGGCTTGTCGTAGCCGCTCCAAGACGGTGCGCAGGTGTTCCACATGCTCGTCCAAACTCCGACTATACACCAAGACGTCGTCGAGGTAGATGAGTACAAACCGATCCAGCATGTGTCGRAACTCCGTTGTCATAGCCGCTTGGAAAGTGGTTGGGGCATTCGTAAGGCCAAACGGCATGACCAGCCATTCGAAATGCCCATACCGTGTCTTGAACGYGGTCTTGTAGCGATCCTCCTTGCGAATCTCGAGTTGGTGGTACCCTGACTTGAGATCCAGCTTAGAGAAGAACAGGGCGCCGCCCAATCGCTCGAGAAGGTCGTCGATGCGTGGGAGAGGGTCGGCGTTCCTGATCGTCTGCACGTTGAGCTTGTGATAATCGATGCACAACCGTAGGTCCTTGTTCTTCTTCCGGACGAAGAGAACAGGAGCACCGTATGGCGATGAGCTAGGCCGAATCCAGCCTTTCTCCAGAAGGTCGTCGAGTTGTGCCCGAAGCACACTTAACTCTTCCTCGCTCATTCRGTAGATGCAACCGCGCGGAGGTACGGCCCCGTCCTCGAGGATGATCTCGTGGCGGATGGGTCGATCCGGTACTACTCCGTGCGGGTCTTCGAACACATCGCTGTAGGCGTCGAGAAGTTCGGTGATGCGTGGATCCGAAGGTGAGTCCGTCGATGAAGCGTCATGTGGCGGGAGGGCGTGGAGAAAACACACCCCCATCTCCTCGACGTCGTCTCTGATGATGGAAGCTCGCATGCTTGCGGCGGATACCACGTGGCAGCTGATCGAAGGATGAGGAAGAGGCACCGTGCATGGAACTAATACTCCGTTTCGATCACGAACGTGAACAGTGCGGTTGAAGAAGTTCACCGGGTGATCCTCGCTTTGCAGCCATGACATGCCCAAGATCATGTCGAATTTGGTGTCCAGAATGTCAAAGGACACCGCCTCACTTGCGTGAGGGGCAAAGTACACTGGGACGGCGTCAATGCACCGGTCGATGGACTTGTGCGTATGACCGTCTGCCAGAGTGACTTGCGTAGGCTGGGACTTCCTCTGGACACGTGGGCCAAGGCCGGCGCGTACCATGAAGTCCTGGCTGATGTAGTTGCGAGACGCTCCGCAATCGATCAAGGCACTGCAGGTCGCCTCTCCGATCTGATTGCGTACGTATAGCAATGGTGCGTCGATGTCGTCGTACCATTGCGTCTTAAACTCGCGGTCGATCTTCGCGATGTAAACATGAAGGTCGACAACCTCTGCTCCGACGTCCATCAACGGAGTTGGTACTGCAGTGTGCAAGTAATCCCGCAATTGTGCCATAAGCACGTTGCAATGCGGTTTCGGCAATCGTCCGGTCGAGGGAACGGGCATCCACTGGAAGTCCTTGAACGTCAATGGGTCGATCTCTTCAAGTCTTGACCATGACGTCAAATCCCCGGCGATAGATTGCGGCGAAGCTGCCGAATCGGTTGCCAATGGTGATGAAACCGTGCATGCGGTGGACTGTTGCACATGGAGCGGTTGGTCCAGCGGTGGAACCAAGTGGACAGCATAATCCTCGTAAGTATATCGAGGACTTGCGACATTCGCATCCTCCCCAGATGTGCAGGAGGCCGCTAGCAA